TCTGATTACTTAAATTAAAAAATCTGCATTTAGATTAGGTCTCGATGTTTCCCTTGGTGCTCCATAATCTTTCAGCAACGATCTATGCCTTTTTTCCCTTGAAATTAACATACCTGTGAATATGTTTTAGCTACCTTTTCCAGTAAAAATCCTGCCAAGTTTTCTGCACAAGTATGCTGGTTTTGGCTGGGCGAGAGCTTATTCTCTTCCCAGACTTCTTGCCTCTGTTTCAGTGTGTGGTACAGCTCAAGGAAGGTGGGTGTGCACGGAAGGTTGGGAGGAGACACAGGTGACTCAAACTGATCAAAGGGGATATTCCAGACCATATGGCATCATGCTTAACATATAAAGAGGGAGGAAGAAGAAGGAAGGGGAAGACTTTTGGATTGATGGTGTTTGTCTTCCCAAGTCATCATTATTTGTGATGGAGCCCTGCTCTCCTGGAGATGGCTGAGCACCTGCCTGCTCATGGGAAGCACTGAATAAATCACTAAATTCCTTGCTTTGCTTTGCTTGTGTGTACAGCTTTTGCTTTCCCTACTAAACGGCTTTTATCTCAACCTATGAGTTTTCCAGCTTTTACTCTTCTGATTCTCTTCCAAATCCCACTGATATGGAAGTGAGTAAGCAGTTGTGTGGGGCTTGGCTGCTGCCTGAAGTTAAACCACAGCAACAACTAAGAGCTTTGACTGGTAGAATGTCCTCATGAAATTCTCAATATGTTTTGATTTCTCTATTAGATTCAAATTCAATACTTTGCAGGCAATCAAACCGTATCAAAAGTAGATGTCTAAATGACAAGCAAAGATGCCTGTTGAATATACATTAGTAATAAATAATTACAAATGTTTTGGAAATTCTAATATAATTCTGTATTTCTTTGCTATTATCACACAAATATTATTAAAAATATTTCTATTTGCATATCTTTGACATACATTTATCAGAAATCATCAAGTGTAGTAATGTAGAATGGTAGTATGTACATTCTCAGTTAATTTCACTAGACAGAACTGTTTTCTTTTTTTGGTCACTGTTACATGAACAGAGGGTATTCAAGTATTTACTGGCTCTTCAACAGTCAGCTGTTTTCAGCTCAGACTTCTTCCCATGAAGCACATTGTAATTATTAAATAATTTCTTTACACATTCAAAAATCATTTCCTAGGGACAGGATATTAAAATAGCTTACGAACAAATGAGGCTTTGATACAAACTTGTCTGGGGTCATTCATGAACTGGGTCTCCATCTACCTTGATTCTCTATTGGACATTTAGCTGTACCCCAAAACCATGGAGCAAACTAGAAAAAAACATTTAATCTTTTAACATGAAATGGACTGAAAGGAAACTGCTGGTCATTATTATGGCAGATGGGTGGAAATGCAGTAAGAAAAAGCTTGGGCTAAACATTTCACTTGCAATACATACCTATAAATACAGAATAAATAGGGGGTTACTCTGTAAGGATCAGACAGGTGGCTCTTGTATTCCTCACCCACACAGGGTGAGAAATAAATTCTCCCTTTACTGTTAATAGCATTGTTTTTCAGTTTCTATGGTTTAAAAGTTTGCAGAAAAAGGCTTCCACAGATTCTTCAAGCCTACTCTTTCTTTTTATCAAACACATTTTGAAAGGCAACTCCCAAACTCCCATTCTGTTTATACTTCTGTAATGTGATTATTAGAATTTCCTGAGCTCTGATAGTTTGGTAGGTACTGGAAGAAATATAAAAGAAGGTATTATTGATGTCTCAGATGGCTTAAAATTGCCACTATAAATCCTGTGTTCCTTCTAGAAACTAAAGTCAGATTACTCCTTCAATGAGATATTGTTAAAAAGACTGGGTACTATAGGCAAAGGATATAAGGTATCATTCTGTATTATATTGTTTGGCTCTAGTTAGAAAAGTCTTAAGTACTTTTTAAATCTGGATGATTTAAAAAAGGGGGAATTTAATGAAAAGGGATTTAGGTAGTCCTGAACACAAAATGGGAGACAATGATGGACAAGATACAGAACAAGGACAAGAGGAATATTAAAAAGGAAGCAGAGGCAGACTAGGAGTCAGGAAAGGAACAAATGAAAATGAAGAAGTTTGTCAAGAACAGAAAAATATCTCAGTGGAAAATAGCAACTAGTAGAGGGCAGTAAAAGTAGATGCTTGGCAAAAATTAGAATGACAATTACCATTAGAATTACAATCTCACTTCAGAGAAAATACTAAAAAAAAATAGGAACGTATTTCATTAAATGGTTCAGCAATGTGATAACAATGAAATAAGTTTGAGAAAACAATGGAATTGAAGGAGACAACTGGAATATACTTAGAGGGGTCCACTGAATAAGGATCACTCCAGATGTGGAGAGAAAAAATTTGATAAAATTGTTAAATGACTTATAATAGGCAAAGAAAATATTGGAATGGAGAAACCTACCAAGAGAGCAACAGAGAAGTGAAGGAAAAAAATGGAAAGCAGATTCTAATTAAAAACTGTGTAATGTGCAGAGTTGGTACCGAACTGTTTTAAATTATTTTTTATGAGTTTGAAATGAAATGTTTATGCATCTCCAGTACTTCAGTTTCAAACCAAATAGGAAGAATTTTCATATGGATGGATGAAAGACATATCCTTTAGCCTAAAAATACTGTGGTGATGCTCTGTAGTTGTTCCTCTTTTGATTTTTTTGAACCAATTTAATAATCATAGAATCACAGAATAAGCTGAGTTGGAAGGGACCCACAAGGATTACTGAAGTCTGACTCCTCTCCCTGCACAAGACAGCCCCAAGAAAATCATGTTGAATTTAAAATGATAAGGCAATACAAATCTCTGAATATAATGTTGCTACAGTATGCCTGAAAAGTGACACTCACATTAACATTACTGTTGTGAGAAACACTTTAGTAACTTCTTGTTAGCCTATCAGTTGGATAGTTAACACATTACATTGAGGAGTTAATTAGCACATTAATAAACTTTGGACTGTCCAGAACAGTTGATGCTAAATGTCCAGCCTGTTTTAATTACAGAGACATATGTTTTAAATTTTTTTCAGAAACCTGGTTACATTAATTCTGTTCATAGACAAATTGTTAGGAGTCAAATCTAAACACCTTATTAAAATAATAGGATATGTGAAAATCTCTTTTTTACAGGTTAGGTTGCATAAAGTGACTGAAATCTAATTACTCTAGTAAGTATACATAAGGCAAAAAGCTTATATATAGCAGATTTTGCTTATTGCAGATAAATTATTGATAAATAAATCAATAGGAATTTGGGATAAAAAAGTCCCTCAGGCATGAAATCAAACCACCTAACTTGACCACAACTTGCAATGAAATCTGCATGCAAAACTAATGACAAAAAGAAAATAATTGCCTTGTACTTCATCAGTACCACTGAGTTATAAAAAACAATGCATTTTATTTCATCTTTTCCAATGAATAGCCATAAAAACTGATTTAATTTTCCTATTTTTGCATAGTGGTAATTTAGGCTATTATATTAACGTAAGAGATTTTCCAGAGTGGGAAAATTAGTTTCTTCTATTAAGTTTGGTTTTGATGTAGCATATAGCACCTTCACTGCTGAGCAGCTTTGGAGGTATGCTATATATGGATCAAGCTAATGAAGTTGTAGCTGAAGAAATCTAAAATCCTAGGCAATAATTAAAATGTTTTAAGACCCTGTAAATGCAAGAACAAAATTATGCATCTCCATTCAAGAAACATTCAGCAAACTGTATGATATATTTGTGTTGTTATTTATAATTATTCCACATTTTTAATCCTGGTGTTTAAATAAACATTTAATATCTGTGTTCCATGTTCTCTGGTATTTTGTAAACAGTCTGTGCCTTTCAACATTTAAGTTCTGCTTACTTTGTCTTCCTTTTGAATTTATTTTTCCATCTTGTTTACAGGAGACTATTTCAATCACTTTAAAAGTGTTTAAATTATCAGATTCCATGGGTGGGTTATCAATATGAGAAGTCAAAACTAGACATGGTGGTATTCCTCAGGTTTTGGATGAAAAAAGCAAGACTGGTTTTCAAATACGCTAAGCATTTGTAACTTCAGAGATCCATGTATAGTAGCTCTCAGCCTTACTAATGGAAGGTATTCCAAAATGAAGTTCACAAGAAATAGTGATCTTAGGAAATTACTTTGAAAAGGGCTACACAGCAAGCTACACAATGTATGAAAATATAGCTCTGGAATGAGGGAACCCATCTTGGAGTTTATTTCAGTCAGAATTGGTATGTATGTTCTGATAATGTCCTTGTCAATATGATTTTAAGGCTTTCTCAAAGATCTGTTCAGCAAATTTCAAAGAAGCTGTATCTCTTTCTCTTCATTTTCCTTAGTCCCAACAAACAAAAAGCAGCTGACTTTTTTAATTCCAGTGTTATTAATTCATACCTTATAATGCCTGAAGAGGTTTGCTACTTTGCAAAAAAGCATGGAGCACTAATTTCCCTGCACCTGGGTTCAGCTTGTTCTGTAGGTACATCCTTTGCATTTTCAGCTCCTCAAAGTTCTAAACTGAGGATGCAACCTTGAATACAGATTCAGGTCTTACCTGAATTTATCTATCTTTATTCTCATGCTGGCTACTTTCTCACACAATATAAGTAATAATTTCAAAAAGTGTTTCATTGCTTAAAACCCACTTTTTTTCAACACTTAGACTCTTAAACCAATACCATCGACTTCCTTTTTCACATCACATTCAGATACATTTGTATTTTCCCTACAGACATCCTCCCTGGGGATCTTTTGACGTACTAAAATTAAATTAATTGTGCATAGACCAAATAAAATAATTCTAGGGTACCCAAGTTGGCACTCAGGTCCTTGGTTTGCAATGCAACCACCAATTTCTTTGACAGACTCCGAAGTCTGTTTGAAAGACAATCATACTTTTATCTGCAACAAAACAGAAAGCAGTAACCTTGACACACCATGCTTTGAAGAAACTTCTGGGCTTACCTGCAATGCACAACCATAGGTCCGGCATCAGGTGGGTTGCAAGTCTTGACTCGTCGCAGGAAAGCTAAGAATGGTGTTGGGTGTTCTGGGACACCATGGTCAGGCCAGGCAGTGAACTGGAATTGCCTCACTTCCCTTTTCTCACTTGAGCCATTCTATGAAATTTAAAAGTTTCATGACAAAACTGCTACTTGAGATAATATCGGCACTTTTCAGTGAAACAACTGCAAAAGCATATATACCAGTGAACGTTTTTAAATATGTGAGGCCAGCAAGAAAAAGAACTCTGGCTATGGAAGAAAATCCAAATTACAGATTCAAACAATGTAAGATCTTTAAATGTATACTTGTGCACCATAAGTATGCAGGTTTTTTATGGTGAGAGCTCTGCATTAACTCACAAAAATTCATGTTATCAGGAACATGTACTCTGTAGAAGTCTCAATAATCAGGGCTGTTGGAAAGAAACAAGGGGAAGGCTAGAAAGGAGGAGTAGGGGAGAAAGGGAATAAGGAAGTAAGGGAAAAAGGCACACAGGTAAGGCAGGAAGCAAAAGGAGAAAGGAGGACAAGGTTACAGGAGGGAGGCTGGTGATAGAAAGGAAAGAAGGAATGGGAGGTGAGGGAAAAAACTGCCAGCCTTTCAATTTAAAATTATATAGTAAGTATATATAAGTATATAATACCTTGTGAAGTGCAAATGTACGAACACAGTATGTTGCCAATTCAACAGTGTCTAAAAGGGTCACTTGGATTAGTCCATAAGTTTCTGTGCCTCTGCTTGGCCAGTATTGATCACACTTCACCTGCAGTGAAAAACACATTATCATTTCATACATTTAATACTGAAATTTATTACATATCTGACTGTATATCACCATAGGCTTTAAACATATGTGGAGACAGAATGGCCAGCTTCTAATACAAGAAATTTATTTTATCATCCACAAGAACTGCTCTTCTGGTAGTAGATTATATAATGTCTTCTTCCATTATGGGCAAGTTTAGTATGACAGATAATTGGGAAATGCTAATAAACATAGATACACTGAAGAAAAAAAAATTATAGTAGCTTAAAGTATGACCTGTATCTTCACTTTTCACACTCCATAACTTAATAACAGTACTAATTATTTCAACATAGGTGGAACATTTTTTTTAATATTTGCCATATTTTACAGGAGTCCCCAAACTTATAAACTACTGCTTTGATGTTAATATTTATTATGTATAGAAATATCTCAGGATGAACAAGTATGTTTTCAGAAATAATTTCAGTACACTGATAAATGAAAGGTCATCAGCAGCTATTAAGTGGACTGTGAGAAAAAAAAAAATTCCTTCTGAGATCAGTGCTCATCAGAGAAGAAGCGTATAATGAAATTGGGTCCACAGGCATTTAAAAAACATGGTTTGGTGGAGAGTTCATCCATCAAATTTTAAAAAAAACAGTACATTTAATTCAGAGGAATCTTAATTTTAAAATGACACAGTCTAGAATATTAAACTATGCAATAATTCTGTGTAAGATGACACATAAAAGAACCATATTTTTATCATCACTTCTAAATCTCAATAATTTGTTTCAGTTAAAAAGGGTATTTATAATGATAACTGTTAAGAAAACAGAGATGCTGAAACCCTAAACCCACCAAAAATGTAGTACAAAGCAGTATGGCAGTCAAGTAATTTAAAACATTTTACTTTCAGTGGCTGATGGGTGAAACAGAGTTGATCTCTATTCTATTTATAACAACACATTCTTACCAATTAGCCCTCCTACAGTACAGAAAAGAAGTTTAAACTGAGTCCAGTAACATCACACTGGGTTTTTTTAATACGTCTTCATTAATCACTCCAAGCCAGACTTACGAAATTCAGTGAGAACAGAGTAAATGTAATGAACAACAAAAGCAAAATATTACACAACATTTGCAGTAAAAAAAAAGTGAATTGTTATGCTAGTCCACGAGGAAAAGTGATTATTTCCCCAAAATGGAAAATTAAGATATGCATCTTTGAAACTTGTGTGTTCTCCAGGTTCTTCATTCTGAACAATACTCATCGAAAAAAGACTTGGTATGCTCTCCAGCTATCTAGACCCAAATAACTTTTGCTCACAGATCATTTTGTTTTGAGGCTCAGAGGTTACAGATCATTAATGGCTCACAAATCACAGTCTGAGAACAAGTAATCTAGATAAAGGAAAAAATTTTAGCCACTGAAGCAGGGGATAAGCATTAATTAGTGGCAAAGTAAAGGGAAACAATTTTTTACAGGCAATGATAATTTAATTTAGAGATAAGGAATTGCAATAAAGTAACTCAAATGTTTATTGATACTGTGCTATTAAAAAATGGCATTGATAGTGAAAAATTCTCTTATTAAGTAAATAAATAATTACTTCCTTGTGTCATTTACTAGAAGAGTAAGTACTGCAAATAGTTCACAAATATCCAGTATATATTTGCAAGATTCCTAGCACTTGCCCCCTTGGTTTTTGTAAATCAAACTGAAAAAGCATGTTTTCAATTGGGACATTTAAATATAATTATAGTAAATATAGCTTCACTTTTTAATTAATATAGAAACAGTGGAACATGTCTATATTGGTTACCTGTATTTTAAACAAACAAGTTGTGGTTTATTATTTTTTAATTCCCATGGAATTACACATTTTTTCATGGAAAGTGTTGATACATAATAACTGTAAATTGTAATCTTAGCAACTACAGGTTTACTCTGACTAAACATGGGTTTTTTGAAGGTTTTTTTAATTAATAAAAATTATTTTTTTTAATTAAAAGAAGAGAGAAAAGTTTAGCTGTGCCTTTGCATGCCTAAATATGTTCTCTTTACCATGCAGGTCTTACATATAAATTGTATGCTTATAGAAGCAGTACCAGCTTCCAGAAAGCATTCCTGAAAAATTAAACAGCTTGGAGTTTGCTAACAACAAAATTTGACCAGCTTCAAAATGACAGAAAATGCTTGTTTTATTTTTATTTTTTAGAGTAATCTAATGTTAAGGATTTACTCAGAAGGCTATTTTTTAGTCAGGCTGGGAAAAAAAATGTGCATGCTCCTTTATGTGGAGATTTTACTTGGGTTTTTTTTTAATGTACTAGTTTGTCTGACATAAACTTCAATTATGATATAATTTTTCTAAAATACTTTCTGTGAGAGCTACATGATGCAGAGGACTGCTGCTGGAAGCAGACAGCAAGTGTTCAACAAGAAACACAATTTGTAGTGTAGTATCTACATTATTTGGAAGTGGAAACTGATGAAAATAAGTATCAATTCTCTTAGAAAGAAAACCCGATTTCAGGTTGATGTGGATTTGACCTTCTGGAAGAGCACACATAAAGCATAAGTTGATTGAACTGCATCTTCTGTCCCTTTTGCCTATTGATTTTTCTCAGATCAAGAGGTCTTCTTCAGATATATGTCCTTATGTGGCTCCTACCCTCTTTTGCTCTGTGATCATAAACCTTATATTCCCAATACTCCTAACAATTCTCCCAATACTCCTAACAATTTAGAGTACAATTTATCTTTGTGAGAGATCAAGCAATGTTTCTATTGGACTTCACTGGCAGCAGAGGACCAGATAATACAAGTTAATTGGTAAGACTACTTTCAGAGACAGAGTCCTGTCCAAACCTTTTATTCTATGTTAAGATCCTAGTTTTCAGCTCTTGAAGTGGGAGAGGTTACACATCCTATCTTCTTTTCAGAAAAGAAATCTCAACCCCCTTGAGTCATCCAAAATTTAACACTAAATGTGAACAAGTCAATTTTGAAAGTTTTTGCCAAATATGTTCTTGCTTTAGCTTTTTGGCCTGTGTTTAAGTTCTGTGTAATAAGAGCCATTTCTCCCTTGCTTCTGTAAATTATTTGGAAAAAAAATTAATGTGGCAAAGTATGGTGATGATAATGCTAGCATTCTCCAGGCATACAATTACAGTGTTTTTATTGTCACAGTTATTTTCTAATATACCTTTGATGAGCCCTCGCCACATAGTCATCATCTTTCTCTCATCCATGTAGCCCCAAGTTCCAAGGGTTGATCTTTTGCCTAGTAGACTATACTGACCTGCACCCAACAATAGTTTTTCTGTGCCACTAACTGTACATGAGAACAGCTTTCACCAGTAATTATCTAATGATCTCTTGCCTGTGACTAAAGATGGCAAGATGAATGAAGCAGACATATGAGCATGAAATAATTCACTGGTAATTTAAGAGTGGTCTTTTTAAAGAGAAATGTAACTACAGGTACTGAAAAGCGTATCTTTCACTACTACTTTCATATCACCGAAGCACAGAATGACTAGGTTGGAAGAGACCTTCAAGATCATTGACTCCAAGCCATGCCCCAAGTTAACCTCAACTAAACCATGGCACTGAGTGCCACATCCAGTCTTTTTTAAACACATCCAGGGATGGACACTCCACCACCCCCCCGGACAGACCATTCCAGAACTTTATCACTCTTTCCATAAAAACCTTTTTCCCAATATGCAACCTATATTTCCCTTGGTGCAGAGGACTGTGTCCTCTTGTTCTGTCTGTTGCCGCCTGGAGAGAAAGACCGACACGCACCTGACCACAACCTCCTTTCAGGGAGTTGTAGAGAGTGATAAGGTCACCTCTGATACGTCATCCTACTGGACTCTGCCCATCCATCCAACCGTTCCAGGTCTCTCTGCAGAGCCCTCCTACCCTCCAACAGATCAACACATGATCCCAGCTTAGTGTTGTCCACAAACCTACTAATGAAACACTCAAACCCCTCATCCTTGTTGTCAATGAAGATATTGAAGAGAAGTGGCCCCAGCACAGACCCCTCAGGACACCACTGGTGCCTGGCCCCAGCTGGATGCAGCACCGCTCACCAGCACTCTCTGGGCCCGGCATCCAGCCAGTTCTGAACCCAGCAAAGAGTGCTCCTGTCCAAGCCATGGGCTGCCAGCTTTTCCAGGAGAGTGCTGCGGGAGACCATGTCAAAGGCCTTGCTGAAGTCCAAGTACACAACACCCACAGACTTTCCTGCATCCACCAGGCAGGTCACCTGGTCATAAAAGGAGATCATGTTGGTCAAACATGGCCTTCCCCTCCTAAAGTCATGCTGGCTGAGTCTGATACCCTGGCCATGCTGTAAGTGCTGTGTGAGCATACTCAGTATAAACTGTTCCATGACCTTAGCGGGTACTGGTCAGGCTAACTTGCCTATAATTGCCAGGACCCTCCTTCCCACAGTTTTGGTGAATGAGTGTCACATTGGCCAGCTTCCAGTCCTCTGGAACCTCACCAGTGAGCCAGGACTGTTGTTAAATGATGGAGAGAGGCTTCACAGGCTCATCTGCCAACTCCCTCAGGACCCTGCGATGGATCCCATCTAGTCCCATGGATTTATGAATATCCAAGCATCTCAGCAGTTCTCTGACTGCTTCATCCTGGATAACAGGGGGACCATTATGCTCCCTGATATCATCTCCCAACCCATGATCATAAATTGCACACTGCCAAAACCACTACATATGAAATCAGAGCAGCTCTCAAATGACTAAATACATTAAGAAACATTTTTAAGTACCATAGAATTGGATATAGCTAGAATATATAACTAATGATAGGCACAATCTCTTAACTTGCCTCTCAAACATAGACATATCTTCTTTACATTTCTTCCACTCAGACCATGCAAATCATTACTCTTTATGGAAGTACAAGTATTCAGTGAAAGCAAAGCTGTAAAAACATGCAAATGCATCCTTTTTCATTAAAAATGAGAAGCTTG